TCAGCCTGCCCGGCGTGGGCGTGGAGAGGAGCTGGGACTGCGCCCGCCTCCGGGCCCTGCGCGGGGAGCTGGCAGGCAAGAGGACACTGCCCCCTGGGTGTCATCGGGGGCTCTCCGTGCTGCTGGGGGACCCTGCCGGGACCCTCTCTGTGCTGGGACCTTGCAGAGCTGTTTGTTCCCTTTGCAGAGTGTTGCTGCACCTTGTCTCTGACCACACTCTGTGTGTGTTTGGGTAATGTGTCCCTGCACACCCCAGCTCGGGCACCCCCAGCCCCCTGCACACCTCCCTGACCTGCCTGCTGCTCTGGTGTCCTCGAGTGGCCCTCGTTGTGGCTCTGTCCTCTGACTTCAGCTTCCCAGGGGCTTGTTGGAGTGCTCCTGTAGCTCAGCTAGTGGTGTAACACATGCAGGAGTCAGGCAGGGACCATGTCCAGGTCCAGTGCTGGTTGGAAGCCAAAAAGGAGTCTCCTGGAAGCTGGTCTGAATGGAGTGCTCCTAGGGAAGGCAGGGACACAGGGTCTGTTTTCCATCCCTGCCTGCAGCCCTTGCTGGGATTTTGGTAGCATCTTATATCCAGTGATCCTCCTGAGCACTGTTTGCTCAGCAGAAAGCAGAACAAAATCATCTGAGGCAGAATTTTGGTAACCTCTCTCAGTGCTGACCAGAAGTTCTCTTATGCTGGTGCCAGTTCCTGCTGCTCAAGAGTCCAGGCTTGGCTGAAGCCCATCAGAACATCCACGTTCTGCAGGGATGAGCCTGGGATTTGCTGAGTCCTGGGCAGCAGGGGGTGGGCACACAGGGAAGGGCAGGTGTGGAGACATGGTGCCTACAGCACAGCTGGGCAGTGTGGAAACACTGGGCTTCCAGAGGTGGATCCTGCTTTTATTTGACCCTGAATCCTCAGGTAGGAAGTTTGTAGGTGAAATCTGAGGCTGTCTCAGCCTCTGCCTGCCTGCTAGGACACGAGACATGCTGACAGTGCTTGGAAACACTGCTTTCAAGTTTAACAACTCCCTGTTTTCTGTTTCAATTCTCCCCTGCCTGTTTCTCTAGCTGACTTTGACTCCTCCAAGCCCCCCAGCGTGGAGCAGCTGGATGTGCTGAGGGAGTTTGCTGGAATTGCTGCTGGAGCCTCAGCTCCTGAGAGCCTTGCTACCCTTGCCTTCCTCTACATGTGCCTGGCTGTCTCAGGGAAGCACAGGTAAGGTCCCCCCCTGCACCCCCTCTCCTCAGTGTCCTTTGCTTCTGCGAGGTTACAGGAAGAAACCAAGTCTTGGAGGCAAAATACTTGGAGCTTTGCTTCCTTTGGGCCCCAAGCAGCTCAGGAGATGCTGCACAGAGCAGAGCAGCTCCATGGGTGGGGTTCCCCCGTGGGGGGTGGGCTGGGAGTCATCTGTTCTCTGTTAGGTTTTGGGGTGCCTGAGTTGGAGCAGTTCATGTGCAGTCAGCAGAGACAGACAGACACCTCTGCACCCAGCAGCTCCTTTCATCCTGGCTTAGCTGAGAAATCCTGCTACAGAAATGAGCTCACTGAGGTAAATCTGATCCCTCCTGTGGGCTGAATCTACCTAAAAACATGAGAAGTTGGGGTCACCACGGCTCAGGGCTGCTTCAGTTTCTGGACTTGACCAACACCATGGATGATATCAGGGGGAGCTGTGGGGTAGGTGCTCAGGGGAGTAGCTGATACAGCCCTGCTTGTGAATTTGAGCCAAACCTGAACCTGATTTTGATGTTCCTAGCAAAGGAATCAGAAGTTCAAGAGTCAGGACGTGGGGCCGGGACACGTTTCGCTCTGCAGTCGCGGGGTCGCTTGGTGGTAGGGTTGGGGCTGTATCAGCCTGCTCTGAAGCCACCAGGTCAGAGTCCAGGTCACTCAGCAGCCCGTGGAAGGCTCCTGGGTTCGATGCTGGGGTCTGTGACACAACCTGGGCACGTTCCATGGAGAACAGGGGCACGTGGGAGCAGATCCGTGTGTGTTCTCTCCTCCCCGGCGGCTCGGCAGGGTATGGTGGTGTGCTAACAGACTGGGGATACTTCTGCTTTCTGTAGAATACACTTCAAAGACTGCTGTAAACATGATTTTAAGGGTCTCTTTATGGGGCTTGTCAAGTATTTAGTCACCCAGTGCCCCTGCTAGCAGCTTGGCAAGCTCTGCTAGTCATCCACCCGACTCACCGGGGCTTTGTTCCAGCACGGGCACCGGTGCTGCTGCTTTCCCTGCAGCCAGGCCCCAGTGGGTCCCTCCTCACCTTTGAGCTGTTGCCTGGAGCTGGGATCCGAGGTGGTTGGGTCACATGCTGTGTGTTTGTGTTGCAGGGATGTTCCAAGCATGGACATTCGGGTGTGGTCAGAGCTGCCCACGGGGGCTGGGCTGGGCTCCAGCGCCGCCTACGCCGTTTGCCTGGCGGCCGCCCTGCTGACAGCCTGTGGAGCCATCTCCTGCCCTCTGAAGGAGGGAGAGGCCACAGCCAGGTAATGTGTTGCAGCAGGGAAGCCTCCCTGCTCTTTGTGCTCCTCTCGTTCTGTTTACCCAGCACCTCTCTGTCTCCCTGGGCTGTGGTAGCCTGAGCTCAGCTCCTCTCCTGGGAGCTCTCCTCTCCCAGGGCTCTGACCTCTGCAGCCTGGGGTTACTTCACTTCTCATCACAGCATCTGGAGGCAGAGACTTTGCAGAACTTGGACCCTTTCCCTTGCTTAGCATAAGGTGTTTTTCTGGTTTGAGCTCAGACAGAGCTAATTCTGTTCAGTGATTTTCCTTTTCCTCTCAGCAAATGCACTTTCTGAAGTTAACAGTAGGTTACAAACGTAAGAAAAAGAAAAGCTTTATTTTTCCAAGCAAATAAACCACACACTGTAATGGGATGAGGTTTTTTTACCCTCTCTGTCCCTGAACATTTTCCAGGTTTTACCCTGACTCCTCAGGGAGTCAATGATCCTTTCTGGTTTTTCTGCATTCCCACAGGAATTATTTTTTTCCTGCACGTGTTACATTTCCTCTGCCCTGAGTTTCCCCTTTATCAGTAGCTGTTGAAAGGGAATTTCTTTCCTTCTGCCCTTGGGTTGCTTTCCCCTGGAGCTCGGGCTGGCAGAGCTGCTGTGCTGGGTGTCTGAGGAGGCTCTGTCTGAGGACCCGTGTTGCAGCTGGAGCAGCAGAGCCTCCATTGTGCACTGGGGGCCAGGTGCAACCTTTTATGGCTGGCATTTGTGGGGGACTTTCAGTGAGACAGCGAGAAGGGGGGGTGAGCATGTTCTGCTTCCAACCCAGAGTTTGCAGCCTGCCCCAGAGACTCGTTTCCTGGGGCAGAGTGCTCTGTGCTGGGGCACATCTCCTTGGCAGGGGCCCGTGGGAGGAGGAGGGAAAGGCCAGCTGACATCTTCATTCCCTGCTCACACTGCTGAGCTTCAGCTTCAACACAGCTTCATTTCTTTTCCCTTCCAGCTGGCAAGCAGAGGGGGAAGTGAGAGATGGGGGGTGTCAGACTTCAGAAGGTTTTTGCTTAACGTCGCAAGAAAAGAACAGCGTGCTAGAATGACTCCTGTGTAGAGGAGAATCACAGCCTCTGAAAGAGGATTAAAAACAAGTGGTTTACAGCAAAACGGTGCTTCTCTTTTGAGGAGCTGTTCTCCTGAGTGCTTCACAGATGAAATATTGGCAAGTGAAATGAAAGGTGTGTGGAGACGAATCAAGACGTTCGGCTGAGGCCCGGGGAAGAGGGGAGTGGAAGGAAACAGCTTCCAGAGAGCAGGTGGCTCTTGGGTTTTCTGCCCTGGCAGGGCTTGGTGACTGCTGTTGTTTCATGTCAGGCACTGTGGTGCCCTTCTCTGTGGGTCCAGAGATGGGCAACGAGGCTGGTGAGGGCTCTGGGGGACAGGGCTTGTGAGGAGGAGCTGAGAGACCTGCAGAAGGAAAGGCTGAGGGGAGACCTGGCTCTCAACAGCTCCCTGAAAGGAGGTTGGAGTGAAGAGGGTGTTGGTCTCTTCTCCCAGAGGGAATCACTGGTGGAATTGTGGTGAGGTTTGTCACTGGCTTTTGCTTTTTGTGTTGCTACAGCCCATTAATGAGTATGTTCAGGCAGGGGCCTTGATCCTTGCTGAGTCTGACCCAGCACCAAACGCTTGCTGACAGCATTTAAACTCTCACAGCACTTAGGTCTTAAAAGCAATCCCATAAATTGCTGTTTTTGTGTTTTTAGCCTAACACCTCCTGCATCTGGGTTTGGTTCCCATCTGTGCTCGGTGCCAGCACCCGGCACAGCTCAAAGCTCTGGGAGTTAATCCCAAAAAATCAAAGTCTTTGCAGGAGATAGTAAATCAGTTCTAACTACACCTCTTGACCCGATTTGTGAGGCTCCTGCAGCTGAGCAGCTGGAGTTGTGTGTGTGAAATGCAGCTTTTACTGCTCTCTTCTCACATTGAGCCTTCTGTGCCTCTAAAGGCACCATCCTGCCTGGTGCTGAGCAGGAGCTTGGGCCAAGGAGTGTGGTAACACTCAGCCTTGGGGAGCTGGCTTGGTCTGGACTTGTGTTCTGTTCAATATTTGATCTGCACTAGGCCAAGGCTGTGATCTTCCCATGGAGTCCTCTCCCTCCCTTGCTGCTGCTGGGTGGCACCTGGGAGTCAGTTTGGGGCTCTTGCTCCAAGAAGGACCTTGAGGGGCTGGAGCATGGCCAGAGAAGGGCAACAGAGCTGCTGGGGAAGGGTCTAGAGGCCAAGTGTGGTGAGGAGCAGCTGAGGGAGCTGGGGGTGCTGAGCCTGGAGCAAAGGAGGCTCAGGGGAGACCTTCTGGCTCTGCACAGCTCCTGACAGGAGCCTGGAGCCAGGGGGGGGTCGGGCTCTGCTCCCAAGGGACAGGACAAGAGGAAACAGCCTCAAGCTGTGCAAGGGGAGGTTCATGTTGGACCTGAGGAACAATTTCTTGCCCTGGAGGGTTGCCCAGGGCTGTGCCAGGCTGCCCAGGGCAGTGGTGGAGTCCCCACCCCTGGAGGGGTTTCCAAGCTGTGGAGATGTGGGGTGAGGGACACGGGGCAGTGGGGACCTGGCAGTGCTGGGGGAGGGTTGAACACAATGTTCTTTAAGGTCTTTTCCAACCTTAATGACTATAACATTCTATGATCTGCAGCTTCTGGTGCCTCTCTCTGTCTCTGCACATGCAATTTCAGTGTATCAGAGTCATCCTCTTGCCTTTCAGGTGGACAGAGGAGGAGCTGACTCTGATCAACACCTGGGCCTTGCAGGGGGAGCGGGTGATCCACGGCAACCCCTCGGGCGTGGATAACGCGGTTGGTACCTGGGGTACGTGTGTGCTTGCTGCTCCCCTGTGCTGAGGAGGGGCTGAGGGGGGGGTGAGCAGCAGCCACGTGTCCATCCTCAGTGGCACAGCATGTCCCTGGTGGGGGGCAGGTGCCAGGAGGGGCATCTCTGAGCTCCCTGGGGCTGCCGCGGGGAGCGCGTTGCCTCGCCCCAAAGGGAACGAACTCCCAAACTCAGCTCCCCGTGCAGAGGGAGTCCTGGGCTGCTGGGGACTTGCTGTGGTGCCCCAAGCAGGTGCCACGGGGCAGAGACCCTGCCACAAAGAGCTGATATTGAAACATTCTGGCGTGAACAAAGAAACTTAATCCTGTCCCGAGGACGAGGCGGTAGAAAACGCAGTTGGACAGCTGTCATTTAGTTTCAATTAGCAGAGACTTCCAAGTGTTTTGGAAGTGTCCTTGGAGACTTCTAATAATCTTTCTAATGAGACCTAATCTCAGTGCCCCTGTGAAGGTAGGAGCTGAGTGAGACATTCCTTCTGGACAGTGAAATTCCACCCTGACGGGCGGCTGCTGACATGAGTGCACGCGTCCAGGCCAGTTTGAAACCTGCCTGCTTGGCTCTGCCCCAGGGAATTGCTGCTTGATTTTTTTTTTTTTAAACTTTTTTTTCTGTCAAGATTTAACGCTGGCCAGAGTCTTTGCCTTTTAAAAAAATATTCAATGTGATCCCAGAGTGGAGGAGAGCAAAGGGAAAGGCATCGGGTTAACGACGTCCGGCCAGACCCTCTCATTAAGTCCGCCGGGTTCGACAGATTCATGCTGTCTGAGAACATGGTTCATTTAGCTGGTGTTTCTTGCAATTACTGTCATATGCTCTGGGTGAGGTTCTAAAGATGAAAGACCTTCTGCCTCTTGTGAGCCTGTGTTATCTCTGGGCTCCTGCGAGCTGAGACAATGCGTGTGTTTTACTTTAGGTGGAGCCCTGAGATACCAGTCGGGGAAAATCACACCATTAAAGAGGTAATATTCCAGTTTAAAATAATTCTTCTGTGCAGTGGGTGGAATATGTCAGAGAGGCTTTGGGATGGTGGAGGGTGTGAGGTGGATGGGAGGCCCCTAAGGGTGGGGCAGAAGGGCTCAGGAGCTGGATTTTGCCCTGGTGTGGGGAGCTGGAGCGTCGTCTCGGTTTGGGGTGGAGGGAACAATGAAATGTTTGCCCATTATCTGACATTAGATGAACACAGCACAAAGGATCAATATTAATTTCATGGCGTTGTGGGCAGCAGGAGCTGATCTGCTCCTGGCAGCAAATGACATTGTGGGGAGGGGGAACTTTTTGCTTACCTGGTGGTGGGACTGGGTGAAAACGGAGCCGCAGAGACAAATCCAGGTCCCGGGTGTTCCCTCTGCCTCCTGCCAGGGAAGTATAATCTGACTCCATTAAAATCTTTCACAGTGCATGAAATTGCTCTATTAGCAGTTAATGGCCACTGCTGGCTAGTCTTGTAGATAGGATTTCAAAGGAAAAAAAAATTTTGCTTGAAAAACATGGATTTCAGTAAATACATTACAGTTCTATTTATAGCACTTGCACAATTGTCTCTAAGAGGGACAAGGCTGAACCCAGCCAGCACTTTAGCACCTCCTTAACTTCTTGAAAGCTAATGGGACTCCTTATCTTGGGTGTCCTGCTCCAATGGGCCTTTTGAGGCAGAACAGAGCTGTCTGGGCTGTGAGGGAGAGGGACAAGGACATGTCTCCTGTTGCTTCCAGGGTGCCGATGCTGAGGATCTTGCTGACCAACACCAAAGTCCCTAGAAGTACCAAGGTCCTGGTGGCTGGTGTCAAGGAGAAGATCCAGAAGGTGCAGCACCTCTGTGGTCAGGGGGATGGAGATGTGTCCTTGGTGCAGGGTGGGGGATAACCCTCGTGAGCTCAGGTCTCCTCGTGTGGGGCTGCAGGTCACGTGGAGATCTCTTGGGAGATCCCTCCTGGGGTTGATGGGCTCCTGTCTGCTCCTAACCAAGGCCTGGCTGCCCTGGGGATGGGGATTCAGCTCACCTTCCTCCTTCTGGGGAGACCTCCTGGTGGCCTTTCAGGATTTCAAGGGGCCTGTCAGAAAGATTGGGACAGACTTTTGAGCAGGACTCGTTGGGAAAGGACAAGGGATGATGGTTTGAAACTAAAAGAGGGAGCTTTAGACTAGAGAGGCGAAATGTTTGATGCTGAAGGTGGTGAGATGCTGTCCCAGGCTGCCCAGAGAGGTGGTCACTGCCCCATCCCTGGAACCATCCCAGGTGAGGTTGGCTGGGGCTCTGAGCACCCTGCTCTAGCTGCAGATGTCCCTTCTCAGAGCAGGGGTCTTGGACAGTATGAGCTTGAAAGGGCCTTTCCAGCCCAAACCATTCTGTGATCCTATGACAAGAATGAAAGGAAGGGATTATTCTTTTTTCCTCCCTCTGCCTTGCTTCCTTCTCTTATTCCATTTTTTGCAGGTGGGAGCAACTTACCATTGCCTTGCTCTGCAGTGGCTTTTTCTGTGAAGAAGTAGCCCCAAATGGGCTGGGGAATTGTCCATCTCAAAGAGACTGGGGCTGTTATTGTCACGGTAGTATTAGAAGACTAGAGAGCAGCCTTCTCACCTCTTTTATTCCCCCCTTCTCAGTTCCCTGCAATAATGAACCCAGTGCTGGACTCCATCGATGCAATTTCTCAGGAGTGCCAAAGTGTTCTGGAAGCAATGCCTGCAAATCCATCACCAGAGTGTTACCCTGTGCTGGAGGTAAGGGGCTTGTTGGCCAGTATTTTTAGACACTGCTGCTGTTGAACATCAAAATGTCATTTAAAGAACATTAGGTCTAAGGAAAAAAAATTTGATAGCAGGAAATGTTCAGTTCCGAGCGAAACCACGAGCAGCGTGTGCTGCTTTTAATGCCCTTCCTGGAGCCAAGGGACAGAAATTGCTCTGCAGGGATGGGAGGGGGGTGGGTGGGTCTGGTGCATGGTGGACCTGTAGCTCTGGGGGCTTTGTCCTTTGGAAAGGAGCGTGGAGGGAGTTCAGGTTGAGACTTTGTCCCCACGCCGCGGGCCAGCCCTGCTCACTCTGGCAGTCGCTGCCTGTGAGGCAGCTGCTTTGTCACTGCCAAGGCTGGAGTGAAGAGCAGGGAGCCCAGCAGCCACTGGTTTGTGATGGAGTGGTTGGGAGCCAGCTCCCCTTGCTCTCCTCTCCTCCTGGCTCCAGAGAATAGCAGACAGAGTCGTGCCCAGCGCGGACCTGACGTTGATGCATGAGGTGCGTGCACAGACCAGGGTTTGTCTTGGCTTTGTTCAGAGCAGGAGAGGCTGCTGAGCTGGAGGGGGGAAGCACATTTCCAAGGGGAAGAAGTTTTTTGTGCAGTGCTGAGGAGGCTGGAATGCTGCTTCAGACAAGCAGGGGCTGAGGGGGTGTGGCACTGTCCCAGCTGAGGCAAACCTGCCCTGGCTCAGGGTGCCAAGTGACTTGGTCAAGAACCATTTAATAGCTGTGGTGCAGTTCCTTGTTTTGGCATCTGGGTCCCTCCCCTTGGCTCTTCCCTGAGGATTTGGTTGACAGGCAGCTGAAGATGAGGCAGTGTAGGGCTGCTCTGGTAGCCAATGGTTGGTACAACCTTCTCTTCTTCCCTTCAGCCTGCATGGAGGTGGCTCTGCAACAAGCACTGGGGGTCTCCTGTAGGCTTCCATGGCCAAGTCCTGCTGCTCCCTTAGCACCAAGAGGGTGGTGGGTTTGTGTACCCATCAGGATGGGCTGAGCTGGCCTCTGCTAGGTGAGATCTGGAGTCTGTCTGCAGCACAACTTGAGACAGCTCCCTGGGAGACAGGGAAGAGGAGAGCTCATCTGAAGTGTGCTTTGAGATCCTCCCGTGGGAGATGCCAAAGCAGCCTGGGACACAGTGCCTAGGAACCAACACTGTGGTGAGCAGGTTCCTGCCTTGAATCTGTTTTGTCTTGTGCTTGAAGAGCCCTTGGAGGCAGCTACTTCTGTCTCTCTCTCTCTGTCTGCCTGCTGCACATATATTGGGCCATTTCTTGCAACACGCAGTTCTGGGCAACGTTGTGGTTGAACCATCAAACCAATCTGGTGTGCCAGCAGCTGTCACCCGAGTCCTGGCAGGCCTTGGCTGGGAGATGGCAGCTGTGGGGTGCTCCTGGGCAGTGCTGTGCCCCCACTCAGGCACGTGGAAGGGCCTCGGGGTGGACGTGGGTCCGGCTGGCGCAGAGCCCGGCTGTGTGTGCTCCCCAAGCCCTTCCCCTCTCTCCCTGAACTCCTCAGAAGCTGCAGCTCCCTCTTCCCTGTGGTGTTGCCCATCCCCTGGGCCATCTGGGCTCTGGTGCCACAGCAGCTTTCTCCAGGAGCAGCAGGGTTTGTGGCTGGCCAGGGGTGCGTGGTGGGTGGCTGTGCCTGGGGAGTGCCTCGGGCTGCCCCCCCTGAGGGCAGCACCCTCTGGACCCCTCCCAGGCTGGGGGCCAGCCTCCCAGCATGGTGCTGCTGAGAGCCCCCTTGGCTCCCAGCCCACCAGGAGGGAGAAGTGCCACACCACACCAGTGAGGGCAGGAGGCTCCCTGTCACCACACCAGCCCCCTCGTGTCAGGAGTTGGGGTCGTTCAGCCTGGAGAAGAGGAGGCTCTGGGGGGACCTTGTAGTGACCTCCCAGTGCCTGAGAGGGGCTACAAGAAAGCAGGGGAGGGATTGTTCACAAGGGTTTGGAGTGCCAAGGTGAGGGGTAATGGATTTAAGCTAGAAAAGGGTAGATTTAGGTTGAATATTAGGAAAGTTTTTCAGCATGAGGGTGATAAACCACTGGAAAGCCTGGAGAAGAGGAGGCTCTGGGGGGACCTTGTAGTGACCTCCCAGTGCCTGAGAGGGGCTACAAGAAAGCAGGGGAGGGATTGTTCACAAGGGTTTGGAGTGCCAAGGTGAGGGGTAATGGATTTAAGCTAGAAAAGGGTAGATTTAGGTTGAATATTAGGAAAGTTTTTCAGCATGAGGGTGATAAACCACTGGAACAGGTTGCCGATTCTGTGATTCTCTGTCCCCACCCTTGCTCACCCCCCATATTTGTGGTTGCTTTTAGGAACTCTTTGACATCAACCAACACCAGCTGAGCGTGCTGGGAGCAGGACACCCCTCCCTGGACAGGCTGTGCCAGGTGACAGCATCCCACGGCCTGCACAGCAAGCTGACGGGGGCCGGCGGGGGCGGCTGCGCCATCACCCTCCTCAGGCCAGGTCAGTACCCCCCCTGCTCACCCCAGGGGGACACATTTGGGAGCAGGGTGTCCCCCTGCCTCGTGGTGTGGCACACGGGGGCAGCTCTGCTTGTTCCTTGGCTTTGGGGCACCTGCCTGGTGTGGTTTGAGGCTTGGAATGGGAGGACCCCGGGTGGGGGTGAACCGTTGTATTCCCTCCCCTTCCCACACACACTCTGGTAAGAGGCAGGGAGTGGGTGCTGATTTCACTCCTGCCTTGGAGCTCGGAGAGGGAGGTTGTCCTTTCCCTCTGTGGGACCCTGGAACCATTTCTGAGGGTTTTGTATATTTTATTTTTTGTATTTTTCCCCTAATCTTTGTATATATTATTTTCCTCACCTCCCTTTTTCGTTTTCTGTTCCTGGTTAAACAACATACTTCATTTTTTTTCGAAAGTCTCTCTCTCTTAGGGGGGGAGAGGTGAGTACATAGTTCTGCTCCATGTGGGTCCTGCCCTGAACCCCTTTTTACACAGAACCAGGACACCCCATTCCCAGGCTCGTGGGTTTACTCCCCCAGCAGCCCCTTCCCCTCGCCCTGCGGCCGCCTCGCCGACTAACTGCTCTTGCCTCCCTCTTGGCAGACACCTCCCTGCTGGCCGTGGAAGCAGCCAAAAGAGACTTGTGTGCCTGTGGATTTGAATGCTGGGAGACCAACATCGGGGCCCCTGGTGTGACCCTGCACTCCTCCTCCTCTCTGAGCCCCCCGGTGCTGCACGCGCTCGCCCAGAGTTAAGCTCCTGCCTCTGGCAAGACCCAGCTCTTGGCACCGCCTCCCCTGATGCCTGGAGACTCCTCTGCCTCTCCTCTGGGTGGCTGAGGGACTCTAGAAGTGGGCGCAGAGCTCGTTTTGGGGGGCCTGGTGTCCCTGGGAGCAGGGCTGTGATGAGGACCTGGGAGCAACTGCTGGTGCTCGGGCCGGGTGCGAGTTTGACCCAAGCTCTCAAAATCCTGTTTTGAATTTACTGAACTGCTGAGCTAACCCCAAGGGGCAGGAGGAGAGGGTCTTGGCTGGGTTCCAGCATGGATAATGACCCTTTGCTGGGTTCTGCTGCTTCAGATGCATGCAGTGTCTCTTCCCTTCTCCCTGGTGTCCCAGAGGCTGGCGAGGTGGATGTGCAGAGCGCTCTGACGTCTGGGTGAAAAGCATCTTGGCAGCTCAAGGTTTGACACTCAGGTCTCCATTTCTCCTAGACTGGGATTCGTGGTGGAGAGGAAACCTTCAAACACAGCTACGAGTTAAGAGCTGGATAATTAAAATGAAAGGTACAGCACAATTCTAGTGAAATTATCCCAGGTTTCACT